GCCTGGCAGACGAGTTCCTGCAGGAGGAGCCCGGGCAGCTTCTGCCCCTAGAGGGCCGATGCCCTGGGTAAGTCCAGCATCACTCCCCCAGCCTGGTTTACCTCTGTGAAGACACTGCCTAGGCCCAGGGCATCTGAGTCCTCATCTGGCACCCAGGGCCTAGGCTGAAGGAGGCTTGTGATCTGACTCTCTGTCTCCTACCAACTGCACCCTTGGCAGCTGCAAGAACTCACTGCTGTGGGGAGACCTGATCCGGCTGTGCCGGATGGGCTCCGAGGAGGAAGAGGAGAACTTGGAATTAGAAGAGGTGAGAGGTGTTTTGGACCCTGCCCCAGCCTATCCCCTGGGCTGCCTCTGACCACCCTTCTTGTCTCCACAGGAACACTGGACAGACATGCTAGAGATCTGACCCTCAGCACCCCCAGCCCTCTACCCATTCCTTATCCGTGCCACTGCCTTCGGGTCTCGGCAATTTTTACTTGAGTACAATAAAAAGTCTGAGTTAAGGGCATCTTCTGGTATTTGCTGGGGTATGTGTGGAGGTAGGAGGAAAAGGCCCTGCCAGTTGCTGGGGCCTGAGGAGATCAGAGGACGGGGGAGGGGCCACTGACCCCAGATGGACCAGCCTCTCTCTGCTGGAGGCCCTTCTGCCTCAGCTTTCCCCTGGCCTGCCTCTGAGATCACAGTTCCTTTTGATTTTTAAAAAAATACATTTCTATTGATTTCACAGAAAGAAAGGAAAGAGAGAAACAGCAATGATGAGAGAGAATGACTGATGGGCTGCCTCCTGCAGGGCCCCTACTGGGGATTGAGCCCACAACCCAGGCATGTGCCCTGAATGGGAATCGAACCCGGACCTGGTTCTTGGGTTGACGCTGAGCCACACCGGCTGGGCTGAGGTCACATTCTTGATGGCCTGGAGACTCACACCCTGACTAAGACCTCACCTGCCTCCAGTGCCCAGCTGGACTTTGGACTTTAATCCAAACAGTAAGGACAAAGGCCAAGCCCCCTTCTAACCCAGGGGAAGAAAAGCACCTTCTGGGGGCTGTGCTCCCACCACCCAAGTGAGGTTCCATGGGAACCGTGGAATGGGGTCACTCCCAGGGTTATGAGCCTCCGGTGTTCTTGCTCTTTCCCATCCTATGCTGCCTCAAGGAGAGCCTGCTGAGCAGTGCCCTGCCCCAAGCCCCGTCACTCACCCCTGTGGGCTGCCCCTGACCTTAACCTTTGGTCCTCAGACTGGCCTGGGGCCACCTTTCCCCTCCACTCTTCTGTCCTCTGGAGATCACGTTTATTAGAAAAAGCTGTTGGCTCCTGCAGAGCTGGAGTTTGGAGTACAAGCCAGATGCCGGGATTACAGCTCAAAAAAAAAAAAAGGCTATTAGGCCCTTTTGTGTTGCTTCAGTCTTTTATTTTCTACACACTGAACTCACATGTTGGGTTTTCAGGCCAGTCTAATCTTGGCTTCAGCTGGGGTGCTAATGAGGGTAGCAGAGAGGGGCCCTCCCACCCCAAACCCCACCCATTCCTGGAGGACAGCCAAGGCCCAGTGCTGGCTCCAAATCCCTCCCACTTTGGACTTATAAAACTTGCAGCTCTCTGCAGTTCTGCACTCACCTACGTGACAGCACAACAGAGCGCCACAAGGCCAAGGTCTGGAGAGGTCAGGTGAGTGCTAGGATAGGGTGGGCTGGGCCAGACCTCCCTCACTCTGCACTGTTCGCTCCCACTGCTTGATCTCTCCATTCCCGCCTCTACTGACCCTGCCCTTTCCCCTGAATCCCAGCTCAATCTGACCCTGCCCTTTCCCCACGGAAATCCCAGCTCAGTCTGATACCATCTGCTGTCTGGCCTGGAACCCGTTCCTCTTTCCATTTCCACTGGGGCATGTTTTGCTCATCACACCAGAATGGCTCCCAAAACAAGCTCAGTTGCTCATTTGGCTGTTTCTCTCTGAGCCAAGATGGAGTGTGGCTGAGCAAGTTGGGTCACAGGCCCAGCTGGCTTTGGGGAGGTTTCTGTATGTGAGGGCTTAGGGAGCTCAGGGAGGGAAGGATGGGGAGGAGCCCACTGGGATCAGATCCAGAGCTGCAGCAGCAAGTACTGAAAGAAAACACGTGGCAGGCCCCAGAGTAGGAGTTTTCTCCAGTGCACACTGGAAGCTCCTGGTCAGCTTCCAAAACCCAGGCACCTGGGTCCCACCAGAGCAATTTAATTGCCTTGGGGTGTGGCCCAGGCACTGGGATTTTAAAATAAATATTTTTAACCTTGACCTCCTGGTTCATGGGTAGATGCTCAACCAGTGAGCCACTCTAGCTGGGCAGGCATTGGGATTTTTAAAAGTTCTGCGGGTAAATCGAAGATGCCTCCAAGAGTTGTGGGCCCACTGTGTTAGATCCGGCCGGAATCCAGCCCAGCACTCACTGGCTCTGAGTGTAGGCAAGTTGCTCAGCCTGTTTCCTTACCTTAAAGCAATTAAACAGAAGACATTGTTGTGATGTTGTTAAGGGAGGTCGGCCCCACTCCGGCCCTGACTCGGCAGCATGGAGCTGGTCCAGGACACCTCCCGCCCGCCACTGAAGTATGTGAAGGGGGTGCCTCTCATCAAGTACTTTGCAGAGGCAATTGGGCCACTGCAGAGCTTACAACCCAGGCCCGATGACCTGCTCATCAGCACCTACCCCAAATCTGGTAGGTGATGAGGACCACCCACCCCTCTCCTGGGCTGCAGTCCCCACCTCGGGCCAGCAGGGGTGTGCCCTCAGCCCCGCTTACCTCCCATTTTCCTCTCCAGGCACCACCTGGGTGAGTGAGATTCTGGACATGATCTACCAGGATGGCGACTTGGAGAAGTGTCAGAGGGCTCCCATCTTAACCCGGGTGCCCTTCCTTGAGTTCAAGGGTCCAGGGTGTCCCACAGGTGTGTGGTGGGGTCCGGGAGCCAGGTGAGGTGGAGGGAGGGAGGACCCGGGCTCCAGCTCACTGGACCTTTCCTATCCATGGCTTAGGCATGGAGGTTCTGAAAGATACGCCAGCCCCACGGCTCCTCAAGACACACTTGCCCCTGGCTCTGCTCCCACAGGCCCTGCTGGACCAGAAGATTAAGGTGAGTGGCAATGGAAGCTACAGAAAAAGGCAGCTGGGGCCAACCCAGCTTTGGCCCCATCTTCTAGGAAGGTCTCATCTTAAACGGGGAGAAGTCCTCAACCTCATGCTCCGGTGGGTCAGATGGCCAGTGACAGACTTTGCAGGGCCTCGGTGCTCACAGGCCTGTGGAGGAGGGGCTGTTGGGAATTCTGCACGCCTTGTTCCAAATCGATACAGTGGCATTGAGAAGATTGGATGAGTATAAAATACAGTTCCTGGAACCAGCCAGGACTCTGGCATCAGAGCAGGCTTCAAGTCCCAGCTCAGTCACACCCAAGTCAGCCTCTAAGCCTGTTTCCCTCTTGGCCAGACCAAGAGAGAACCTCCCTTGCAGGGAGGCTGTGAAGGGTGGAATGTGATGCTTAAAGAACCTCTAGTGCCTGCTGTGCTGTGCTGTGCGGTGACGGTGCGGTGCGGGGTGGGGTGTGTCTTCTGCCTCTCCAGGTGATCTATGTTGCCCGGAACGCCAAGGATGTGGCTGTCTCCTATTACCACTTTTACCGCATGGCCAAGGTGTACCCTGAGCCCGGCACCTGGGACAGCTTCCTGGAGAAGTTCATGGCTGGGGAAGGTGGGGCTGACTCTGGATGAAGGAGTGGGTGAGCTGAGGGGCAGCCAGCTGGAATGAATACCAACCTCTGTCCGTGCCCCCTGCCCTTTTCCCCAGTGTCCTATGGGTCCTGGTACCAGCACGTGCGGGAGTGGTGGGAGCTGAGGCACACCCACCCTGTTCTCTACCTCTTCTACGAGGACATGCAGGAGGTGAGACACCGCTACCACTTCCCTGCACATGGGGCGAGTCCCAAGACCTTCTAAGCCCCGATTCCCTATGGCAGACCCTACATGGGTCCTAGACCCACCTCACCTTCCCTGCCCCTTGGGCAGCACACTCCGTAGAGCTCTTATCTCCTAGCACCTGAGTCAGTGCCAAGTGCAGTCACTGATCACCCATTTACTGCTACTGCTTCTCCCTGGGCCCAGTTATGACAGAGGGCTGTCCGTGCCCTCACCCTAAGGAGCCAGATACAGCTTCTTAACAGATCACAGGGCAGAAGGCAATTAATTTTTGCCCCAGGAGTGCCAGAGTATAAAGGACCAGAGTCATGGAGCAGGGTCGGAAGTGGCCGTGAGGTTAGGGTGGGGCCTCCCTTTTGTTTGTTCAATGCACAACCCAAGCCTCCACTGAAGAGCCCCCCTGCTGCTGCAGAACCCCAAAAGGGAGATTCGGAAGATTCTGGAGTTCGTGGGCCGCACCCTGTCAGAGGAGACCGTGGATCACATTGTGTGGCACACGTCATTCAAGGAGATGAAGAAGAACCCCATGGCCAACTACAGCACCTTACCCGTGGAGATCATGGACCACAACATTTCCGCCTTCATGCGGAAAGGTGAGTCCCCACCAGGAGGGGCGCTGGGGAGGCGAGGGCGGGAGCAGCGGCTAGAGCTGGCCCTGAGCCACTTGGGGCCTCTGCTTTGGCCAGGACCTCTAGCCTCACTCCTTCCCTCCCCACCTCCCTCCCCAGGCATCACGGGGGACTGGAAAACCATGTTCACTGTGGCCCAGAACGAGCGCTTTGATGCCCACTACGCTGAGAAGATGGCAGGCTGCAACCTCAAGTTCCACACAGAGCTGTGAGTGGTGTTCATGGGACCGCTCCCCAGGGAGTGTGTGCGAGTGGCCCGACAGGGGCCTCAAGAATAAAGTACAGCTTGTGTTGCATGGAGTGTGCCTATTGGAAGAAAAGCAGACCTGAGCTGAGAGAAAGAGTAACTGCCCACTGGGACCAAATGAGGCCCCAGCTCCCCAACTTGCCCTATGTGGGGAGGGGTAAGAACTCAGGAGACATGGCAAAGGGGAAGAACATTTATTTCTTCACATAATGTCTTGTTGCATGCCCCCGTGAGGTGGCAGGAGGCTGCCAGCCTGCATCACTTTTTCTTGGGCTCCTTACAAGCCACCACGTACCTCTGGGCCACATTGAGGGGAGGGGAGTAACCATCTGCATAGGAAGTGTCTTCAAACAGGACCGAATAGTCATCCTGGGGCTGCAGCAGGAGGCAGACAGGAGGCGCTGGTCAGAAAGCCCCAGGCCAGCGCCCCCCTCCCCCCAAGCCTAGACCGACAGGCACCTCTGGTGTGTGGGCTCCTAGCCTTTCCCGTCTCATCTTCACTCAAGAAGTCTAGATGTTTGAACCTGCTCCCTGCTACAGAGCTCCTCAGCCACCAAGTCCAAGGACGGGGGTGAATAGCAAGGGAAAGGACTCGCTAGCTACACAGGCGGCCACACGGAAGGGGCCCCTAGGTTAAGGGGAGCAAGGACAACTCAGAGGGCAGGAGGCAGGGGTCCTGGAGGAAGAGGGGAGCCCAGCCTTTAAACTGCCATCAGTGATGGGTGATTAGAGGGCAGGGGTCGGGGGTGAAGACTGGCCCTGAGCAAGGCTTCCATCTCGGGGCTCAGGCCCCCACCTCAATGCGAAAGCGAGGCTAGACTAGAGGACACACCGGGGCTTTCTAAGGCTCTGCAGGGCGCCAGCACTGCCTGGAGGACAGGCTGGAGGGGTTACAGCTCAGGACCCCGCCAACTCAAAGAGGTACAAGGACAAGAGGGAAGGAAAAGGGAAGGTGACCGACCCCATGACCTGTCTGGTCAGCGGGGTGGTCCTGGTGTCCGGGACGATCTCTCCCCCGGGGGCTGCCTTACCCGTTGTGGGGGGGTGTGGATCAGGGCACGGTAGAAGCAGGTAGTCTGGGGATACAGGGCCAGCACGAGCTGCTCCTTCTGGAATAAGGCTTCGGGGTCCGTCTCAGGGTTGGCCTTCCACTGGGGCAGTGGGATGATGCGCCGCCGGCTCAGGGTGTGTCTCCTGGAGGGGCGCTTAGGTCAACCCATGGCAGGTGGGGGGCTCTTTCCCAGCAGCAGGGCTGTCCCCAGGCTTCCCTCGCCCCGCCCTGGCCAGCACACTCACTCTTTGCCTTCTTCATCAATGTCATCGACCTCATACCTGCAGGTGAACGAAAGGAGAGCAGTGGATGCAGGGCAGTGCACACCAGGTGGGGACTGGGGAGGAGGGTGAGGAGGGAAGTAGCCCAAGGAGCCGGCTCTTCACACGTGTCCCAGTTCCCACAGGGCTGGGCGTGTCCACTCACTTGTTGGTGGCATGGCTGTAACTGACCACCTCGGCCAGGATCCACTGCTCATCCCCATCCACGGCCTTGACCCGGGCAGCCACCTTGTCTCCAGGTTTGGCCACGTAGTCCCCAGAGGCCGGAATGGCCCCGCAGAGTGGGGGCGGCCTGCGGAGGGGATAACGTGTCAGTCCCAACCCCTCCCCTGCCAGCTCCCGCTCCCTGGGCCTGCCCTCACTTGTCACCAGGCTTCCCGATCCACAGCGGCAGGGTCATGGCCGACTGCTGCAGCAGGGTCATCAGCACGCCCCTGCGCATGGTCTTCCGCGGGGGCTCCGAGTCATTGTACAGGCCCGCGATCTTGGCCGCTGTGGGAAGGAAGTGAGCCCCTGAGGCACCAGGGATAGGGTGCCTGCCCCTGGCTCCCCACCTCTCGTCGAGTTAGCACCAAGGGTCCAGTGTGCTCCCTGGCCCTCCACTGGAGGCTCCTGCTGAGAGACCACCAGGCCACACTCACCTGGCCAGACGGGTTAGTGGATACGTTTGGGAAAGAACAGAAGAGGCCAAAAGGGGGATTCTGAGGCGCTGGTCGTGTCTCTTATCTGGGTGCTGGTTACATCCATTGGTTCAGTTAGTGAAAATTTTATGGAGCTGGGTGGATACTTACATGTATTTTCTATTAATATGTTATAATTAAGCAAAAAGTTCAAAGAGCTATCAAATGTGGACAGAGCCCTTACCTCCTCGGGCATGGCTCAATACACCCAGTCAACTTCAACCCAACTGGCAGTGTGACAATTTCATGGGTGAGGAGTCTGCCCCTGGGTTCATTGGACGGGCGAGAGAGAGGTGGGACAGCAGTCTGAAGCGATATGGAAGCCAGCACCCTGTGTAAGCCCCATCTGAAAGGCCGGCTTCAGGACATCCCGCTGTGGCTCTCCAATAACAGCCAGGCTCTCACCTCAGCAAGAAATGGGCCTGCGGGTAGCAGTGCCTGCCCCAGGCAGTAGAGGATGGAAACCAGGGGGGATTGGGGCAAATCAGCTTAGTGTGCAGAGGGAGAGCGGGGAGGCCTTGTCTCTGACCCTGGGACTGACCTCCATGCCCTTCCCAGTCCCGGCTGCCCTGGTGCACCTGCCTGTCACAGCCCGTGGCCCAATCGACCACACCAGGCTGAGGCTACAGGCTCCCCGGCAGGAAGACATGACTGCTGCTCCCAGGAACCCTCACTCCACCTGGTCAAGGAACACCCAACTAACTTGTCGTCTCTAACTCACCGATCCGCCTCTCTTCCAACAGAGACTTGATTTCCGCAATCTTATCGAGGGCTTTCCGGAGGATGCTGAGGGTGGGAGGAGGGAAAGAAGAGGTCTGGATGAGGCACTAAGCATGGACTTCCTCTTCTGGTCAACAACGCAGACAAACCTTGGTGAAAACTATGAGCCCTACATAGGTGGCTTTAGTCTTAAAAGCATACAAAAGCTGATAAGACAGCCCGACTAGTGTGGCTCAGTGGTTGAGCATCGACCTATGAACCAGGAGATCATGGTTCGATTCCCGGTTAGGGCACATGCCTGGGTTGCAGGCTCGATCCCTGGTAGGGGGCATGCAGGAGGCAGTCGATCAATAACTCTCTCTCATAATTGATGTTTCTATCTCTCTCTCCCTCTCCCTTCTCTCTGACATCAATAAAAACATATTTAAAAAAAATTCTTTGCAGAACTTAGCAGAGCCTTTGATAATCTGCATTATGAATCTCTAGGAGAGGAATGTAACTCCGTGTCCTAAAGCAGCGGTAGCTAGCCTTTCAGACCTCACGGACCACCGGTTGGCGACCGCTGTTCTAAAGTTATTGCAGATCCACTAGAGATTTGAGGTAACAATGTTTTAAGATCGGTTACTATTTAAAAAGTAGTTTTCTGGAACTGAAACTTCTCCATCTCAGAACCATAAAAGCTTTACGTCATCTCCCAGGTAAAGCATGGTCCTATCCCGACAGGCAGCCAGCCTTGGGTTTAAATTTGGGCTCCCCCACTTACTAGTTGTGTCTTTTGGCAGATTACACAACCCTTTGGTATTTCAGTTTCCTCATGTGTTAAATGGGGGTAATCCCATTTTAGAGTTGCTCTGAGGGTTAAATGAGGTAAATATAGAAAGTGATGTAACAGCACCTGGCACAGAGTAAGGCCACATAGAGCTGTTATTGTTACTGCTACTACCACCACAATAGAGAATGCACTTCCTAATGTGAGGAATGGTCAAGAGTTTGTAAAACACTAGTCTTAGGCACTTCATATGCATTATCTCATTTATGTTGACAATTCTATAGGTAGTTATTATTCCTATTTTAATGATGGAGCAACTGAGTCCCAGCTGAAGTGACTGCCCAAGGTCACGTGACAGGCAAATGGCAGTGCTGGCACCTGACCCCTGCCCTGCTGCTAGGGAGGGGGGAGCAGTTTAGAAGTGTGTTCTAGGGAAGGCGGCCCTAAGGGAGAGGCTCATCTATGCCAGGAAGGCAGCCTGGGCCGTGGTCCATAGGTTCCTGCAGCCCAGCACCTGGGCGAGGCAGGGAGGCGATGGCAGGCAGTGGGCTGGCACTCACTTGCACTCGGCCTCTGCGTCAGCTTTGGTGGTTGTATAGAGGCCCCGCAGCTTTGTCCGGTAATAGGGAGAGACTGCAGAGTAAGCACAGGGAGACAGGAGTCGGGGAGGGGCAGCTGGCAGTCGTGTGGCACTGCTTCCAGTATATCGGATTCAGGCCTTAGGAGGCATGAGCTCTGCTGGCTCAGAGTGCTCCCCGAGGCACCTGCACCCCATGCACAGCGCGCTCACATTTCCATACGGTGCAAATGCCATGAATGCACCCAAGGGAGGACTTCCTTCCTTTGCCATAGCATGATGCACACAGGAAGTACTTCTCAGCACATGGAGAGCGGAAAGCAGTCTCAAGCTGCTCAGGGCCAGAAAGCCCAAGGCCAGGAGCCTGGCCAGCTGGGGCCCTCGGTGCACCCTGGGAGGGAAGCTCCCTAGAAACACCAGCTAACCGGGGTGCTTGTGCCCATTAAAGTGTTTTCCTAGATGCAGCCTCATTTCACTGACTTTCTAGTCCCTAGATGTGGGGGATTTTAAGGTTCCTTAGGGCTAGGCAGTCTGGTATCTGTCTTCTAGGTCACCTTAGGCCCCCAGTGTAAGGGAAAACTGTCCCTCTGGCTTAAGGAGCAGCTCATCTTGGATGACTGCAGATACATGCAAAAGCTCCTTTTGAAAACGATAGCAATCTTGACCCACATCCACTCCTCATCCCCTTTCTCTCCAGAGCCCAGCTACTCACTCTTGTTCTCTGTCTGCATCCTCTCGTGGGTCTTCTGGATGTTCACTAAGTTGTGCTCACTCCTCGAACGCTCTTCCTGCAAAGAGGAGGTCAGCTGGACAGGAGCGAGGCCCCCATCCCGCTGGGGCACCCTGCACCCAGGCCACAGGCCCATCCATATGGCCCTCATTTACTAGATCTGAATTCAGGACCAGTTTAAAGGCCCCCTCCCCCACTAATGCGAAAGCATGACAAAAGGCATTCAAGTGAAATCATAAACTAGATTTATGGCTCTCCTTCATCAGAAAAGACAAACTGACCTACAGAGTCAATACA